CAAGCAATTCTTACACTTCGTTTCTTATTCAAAATAAGACTTACAATCCTGAAAAGATACAAGGCATGAACTCACCAGGATAATTACGGCATCTCTGACTTTATCTTTTATTTCATTGTATGCCTAAAATTAGAAAAAGCAATATCATGAAATGAGTCAACAGGATAATTGGAACAAAAAGAAGCATATTCAAATCCAACTCAAACTAGCACATAAGATTAACATTAGATGCAAAAAGAAGTCATCACATACCAGATCACAGAAGCATGTTAATCCAACTTCATTAAGTGCAGGAAGTGATCTCTGACTCCGAGCAATGAAGTACCTATCAAGATAATAGAAGAATTGCAACAGCCACCAGACCATGACTTTATGACTCGACCATCTTTTACCAAGCTCCCTTGGCATGAACTCATCATGCTTCTCTCCTAAAGATGGCAACCCCTAGTAAAGTGGAAGATGGAAAGAAAAAAGAACAATGAGCAACAAATCAACTACACTAACAACAAAAAAGTCAATACTTAAATTTTTTATTTCTTACCAACAGTCATATTTTATCTATTGATAGTAAAGTAGTTTTTTTGATGGCTTACTGATGGTAAAATAATTAAACCATTAAGAATTTCCCACAAGACTCAAGGATAAAAAATGGGACTACAAAAATAACAACCAATCTCAAATAAAGCAGTAGAATTTTTCATGCATCAAAATAGCTTTGAAACAGGAAACAGAGAACCTGAATCAGATCAGAGCCAAATATTTTACCAACTGCAATGCACTTTTATAAGCAAATAGATAATACAGGCCTGCGAAACTAGGTTTGTTTATAGCTATCTGAGATTTCAAAAATTCTCAGAAAGATATGCAGTGAAGATACATGTATTCCTGGAAATAATAGGTCTTCTCATAATTAAAGGATTAGACACCCCTTTTTGATACAATGAAGAGAATAAATGATGGATTCAATAGAAATATATAAATAATAATAGATAAATTTACACTACAGATAAGTAATAAAGCATAAAATGTGGAGCAAGCTTACCATGCCCTCCTTGGATGTGAACTGTTCCCCACACTGCTGCTTCAGCTTAGTCGAAATATTCCTCTCATGATCATGATTAGCACTACAGTCCAAAAGTAGACGCCGAGCAAGCTTTTTCCTGTAAAGAGTTGGAGATAAATTGAGTACCAAAATTTATTAAAATTCTAGGATTCCATCAAATGAAATTGAAAATTCCATCCTGTATAATAAATGAAACATGAAAAAAGGAATAGCAAAGAGGTCTTACCTGTAGAACTCAGCATAAAGATCTTTATCACTAATATACGCAAGGAGTTTAACCACCTTTAGAAATAAAGAAAGCTTGTCAGATCAAAGTCAAAAAAATCATCATTAGTTTGATAACAAAAAAATTAATTTAGCTACCTTTTCAAGTGTTTCTTCAATAGCTTCATCACCCAATTTCTCACTTCCGCCTTTCTTGAGGATATTATCACAGAAAGTTGCCAGAAGTTCAGAACTAGAAACGCCAGCAACAGTTCTGTTGCAAAAGACCTCAAAAGCCTCCTTCAAAGCCTATTGAAGGGTTTTTGAAAAGCACATTAAGATAAAGTCATGGAAAAGATCCAAGTAACTAGTTTGGCATTATTCTCCATCACAAACCTTGTGGAATAGTGTGTTGTTTGAAAAACAGTCAGTCACATAGACCATGTACTTATCATGCAATTCAATTAGTTTCCTGATGAGGACCTGAAGATAACAATCACATCAATTTTGGACATCTTCAAAAATTTCCAAAAGAAACCACAGGACACTGCACATTGTACACTTACCTGCTCTGGGGCACCAGAAGAAGTTGTAGCCTAAGGAAGAAAATAAGATTATCAGTTGTGGCAAATGTCTGATATTTTAATTTCTGATATAACTAACAATATCTGATATAAAAATACTCGTCCGTAGAAACAATAGCAAAAAAGTAATTTATTTATAGAGAAAACTTAGCATGGTATCAAGTGCAGCATTCTTGATATTACTATCAGGAAAAAATTAAAACGCCGTACTTTACCTGGTTACTTGCAGCATCTTCGGCTTGTTGAACGAGAACAGTAACCTCATTAGTGACATGCTGCAAAAGTACATTCTCAGAAAGTGTAAGCAAAAGTGGTAAATAAAAAGATCAGCCCACTAAACCTGCAGAAAAGAGGAAGTAGAAAGCCAGACCTGCTTGAATGTATTAAGAATCGGTTCCAATCCCTTGGGTATTTTATGGTAAAGCCTGTACATCCTAGAAAGATCATCCACCTAGCACAGTGTGAACAAAGCTGGTCAACCATTTATTTTATATGCTTATTTGCATAC